TATATATCAATGTACATAGTTTGCATCCATTTTGTAGACATTAAATTAAATTGATTTGATGAAATTTCCACGCTGTTTTGATCTAAAAGACGATGTGTCGATGGATAACCGCGTCAGATAGATGAAAACCTTTAGCTAAATGTGGCTGTTAACAGGATAACAGGTTATCAAAGAGACTGTATACGGGACAGTCGACAGTCTTGTGGCTGGCGTTAGTTCAACAAAATCGAACTTTCTCAGGGGAATGTTATGGGTGGTGTGGGGGTGATATGGAAATTTAAACAAGATTCCGCCTCACAGTGGTCAATAGTTAAGAAAATATATAATGATATTCCATAATAAGTGATAAGATTAATAGTTCGTCCATCAATGTCTGACAACGACCTATGCATCTGCAGGGGAGCACACTTCTTGAGCTAAACAGAAGAAAAATGGGTTGAGTTGAACTGTGGCTTCTATTATGGCTAATGAGTCCAATTCTGGTTGAGAAGAGCATGCCGTATTTTGAGAATGTTGCAAGTGTCGTACTGACTGAGCTATAGAGTAGCCTAATGGTTAGGCTACGGGACCAATAATCGTGAGAATTCGGGTTCGGGGGTTTGGTCCGACGTTATGTCCATGAAAGGGCACTTTACACGAATTTCCCCTTTGGCTCGGTCCTTTCGGAGATGGACGTTAACCTCGGAGGTCCCACCTCTTATATAACCCAAGTGTGTTGACTGGGGCGTTAGACCTACACCATTTCACCATTTGATCTTTAGATGACAAGGGAAGAAGATTGTAATAGTGTCATGCTTACATTGTGTTTGAGTCAATAAACTAGGCCAAAATATGGAACATTCGGCGGTGACTTCATTCATCGACAAACTGTTCATCGACAAGCTGTTCAAAGCCCAGAAAACTTGTTTTTCAATAGATAGAAAAGACTGTCTCATTCTCTTTAAAGTCGTATCTGCTTTATGTATCTTTTAGGGGTGTATTCAACATAATATAGCGTTTGAGTTTCACAAACTTTTCATTGAGAAGATGCAAGTGATACCATAGATTAGGGTAGACCAGATAGAATATTTGAGAGGCAGCGTGGTGGAATCAGGCTCTCGTCAAAATAATCGAAGTGAAGAAACTTGAATTTTTCCGCATGCTTGTGAATTATTATCAAATTTTTGTTTTTTGGCTCAACACCCATCATGCCCATTAAAGAACTCATTTCTGTGTGGATTTTTCTGAAAAGCTTTGATTAAAAGCACAAAAATGAACATTTTCAGTTACCGCGGACTCTTAAGCTAAGGAAATAACTAATCTTTGCGGCCATTTTCTCACTAATTTTACCTTTGAAAACAGGTGACCACCACCCCCTTCTTTTGCAAATATCTCGACTAGTATTCAAGATAAATGGATATTTTTTCATCCAAATAAAGACAAGTGAACATGCTTTAAGATGATACCAATAACTCTACATGCCCAAAACTTGACGAGAGCCGGATTCCACCACGCTGCCTCACATTTGGTTTTTGACCCCATGGTCTAAGTAACTCAAAATGGCCAAAAGGTCAGACAGAACTTTGTAATTCTGAGGTAGTGCACTATCTAAGGCCTACAAGACGACTCTGGCATGAATTGCGCGGGTGAGCGCCCAGGCCTGAGTCGGAAATTGTACAAATCTGTGTGGGAGGCGATTATAATAATGTTTTCAAGTTTGTATCAAAGAACTATTTTGTCCAACACAAGGTAGAAGTGAAGAGCATCACTGACTTTTTTGTGTTTGCGTTTGTTTTTTGTTTTTCTTCATTTTGTTTTGCTCCACCCTGTAAAATGTAAATCTTTTGATCCCCATTGTAAATACCCTACTCACTGGTTCGTTAGCATTGCATCGATTTTATGTCGTCAGCGGTACCCTGCATGTTTCAAAGAATATCCACCGTAGTCGAGAGTGGATGCAGTATCCCAGCAGAAAGACAGAAATAGCTGTTCATGATAAAGAAGAATTCCCCATTTGAGAATTAAACTCAAATCTTAAGGATGCAAGGACGATGAACCCAACAACTACACCACAGAGATTTCCTTTGGTCATGAAGATTACGCCCCCTCTCCCTCCCTCACACACATAGACACAATAACATCAGAACTAAAACTACACAGCCAGGAGAAAGAAAGAGTAATAACCCTACACACTAGTGTGTTTTTCAAAAAGTTTAATTTGAAATTAAAACACAAAAAGTAAAACAACTGCTTTTTAAGGTTAATTTGACGGGGTCACAATAAACGAGTGAGGCGATCAATCAGACAGCAAACATCGCGTGAGAAAGCTAAAAAAATTTGAGAAAGATTGTGTCTGTAGTGTTGAAATAAAGTTATTTATGTCATAACAATAAATCTCAAAATACACGAAGTTGCATTTCAAGCCTCAAAATAACTGCTCCAAAACAGCTTGTAGGCCACTTAAAAAAAAAGAAAATCTATGTACAGTTTACAGCTAATCGTGATGACCTAGGCCAGATCAAACACGATTTCTGAACACGTGACCAATTCCCCATTGTAGGTGACGTCAGCATGGACTTTCACAGCGCCAGATACTTTGACCGGAAGCTGTGCTTTGATGTCCAACTGGAAGGGAGGGACGGTCCAGTTGCCCTGTGAAGGAGACGGCAAATTGTCCCGATTTGTATTACCCATTTTGTCTTGCTTTATTCTTTTTATTTATGTATGTTTCCTTGATCAAAGTTTCAAAAAAGGTAGTAGGTAAAAAACAACAACAGAGAGACAACAGCGTAAAGTAGATAACTTCTTTATGTGTGTTTTTGAATCTTGTTTTAAGCAAAGAAAAGCATACTATATATCGTATCAACTTGATAATCCCCCTTTAATGCCGGGGAAAGGCTAGGCAGACAGACAGAAACAATTGCTGGAATAAAAAAAGGAAACCTATTTTACTATACAAACCATCCAATAACCTATTTTGTGTTCTATCAAATTAAAATTGAACGACGTACGACGACGACATAAACGATGATGATGATGATGATGATGATGATAATGATGATGATGATGATGATGATGATGATGATGATGATGATGATGATGATGAT